GGCACAGGCCATGTGGGTGGGTAGGATGGAGACTGTGTCCTAGCACTGGGTCCAGACAGGTTGTCATGGAGCCAGTCCTGAGCAGCCCCCGACCCGGCACTTCTCGTGCATGCAGGGGAAAGACAGACAGCTACCACGGCTCAGAAGCTGGTGGTGCTGGACCTGCCTTGGAGAGCAGAGAGCCTGGGGGCGGAGGGACCTTGCAGGAGGGAGGAGGATGGGAGAAGGCTCAGAGGCAAGAGCTGCAGCTGGCCTGAAGGTCCTGCCTGGAAGGCCTGAGCCCTTCTCCCCTGCAGGGAACGAGATCCTGCACTCCAGGGACACTCTCTTTTTGTTTTGTTTGCTTTGAGTTGGAGTCTCACTCTGTTGCCCAGGCTGGAGTTTAGTGGTGCATGCTCACAGCCACCGGAGCCTCATCCTGCTGGGCTCAGCTGATCCTTCCGCCTCAACCTTCCAAATAGCTGGACCCATAGGCATGTGCCACCATGCCCGGCTGATTTTCCATTTATTGTAGAGATGAAGTCTCGCCATGTTGCTCCGGTTGGTCTTGAACCCCTAAGCTCAGGTAATCCTCTCGCCTCTGCCTCCCTAAGTGCTGGGATTATAGGCATGAGCCACCATGCCTGGCTTGCACTCTGAATTCTGTTAGTCATTTGAGTTCAGTTAGTTATTTGAATACCCTCTAAATGCAGAGTGTGTCTCAGGATCCAGAAGGAATTGGAGACGTTCCTTTCTGCCCAAAGCTGCTCTTGGGAAGCTTTGAGGTGATAACAAACAGTAAGCAGAAAACTACAGATCGACTCTGAAAGCCAGAACATTTCTTTTCATCCAAGGCTCAGGGAAGGCAGGGACATGTTATGTAAAAGGAAACCTGCTGGTCCAAAATGTATCCGGAGCCTGCCTCTTCTTACCCAGATGACCTCTTGTGTAGTCCAGGTTGATCAGCACAACTCTGAAATATCAGCACCTTGGGGCCCTGCTCACTGGTGTGGTTTTCACCCGCGAGCCAGCTCCCCCGCACTCCAGGGGCAGGGAGAGAAGCCGGAAGCTTTCTGCACAGTCATCCTCAATTTCAGGCGTGACTGGCAGAGCGATGGCGTCTCCCAAGGGCTGAATGTGCGGGAATGCCACCTTTTCTTTTGCTGTGAGTTTGGACAGGTGATTGGCACAGACGTGGTTCTGTGCAGTGTTGGGACCTGTGCCGCCACCAAGGTAAGTGCCATGCGTTGGAGGCTGCCAGCCCCTCAGTCCACAGGCATACAGTCTTGCTCCCACCGCACCCCTGTTCAAAGCCAAATGAGAGTTCAAAAACACCTGGCTGTGCGGTGGCTCACACCTATAATACTAGAACTTGGGGAGGCAGAGGTGAGAGGATTGCCTGAGCCCATGGGTCGATCTCATCTCTACAATAATTCAAAAAATTAGCTGGGCGAGGTGGTGCATGCCTGTAATTCCAGCTACTTGGAAGACTGAGGCAGAAGGATCACCTGAGTCTGGCAGGTCGAGGCTGTGGTGGCCACAAGCATGCCACTGCACTCCAGCCTGGGCAACAGAGTGAGATTCCGACTCAAAAATAAAAGAAAAAAGTTCAAATACACTTCTGTGTAGGGTTCAGGTCTTTGTCTCATGTAACTGAAACTTGACATTTTTTTCTTCAAGTGTCAAACTTTAGTTGGCAAAGTAGACTTCCTAAAAATCAGTTATCTGGTGCAATCCTACCTGGAGGCAGGGGACCAACCGACTTGGCCTCGGGCAGTCTCTGGATTCCTGCTTGTATTGATGTGGGAAGCAGCTGAGTGCGTGCCTTCGAGGTGTGTGGGGGTACCTGGATTTGCCCTATAGGGCACCATAGTGATGGCAGTGACTCGTGGTGGGGGTGGGGTCCCAGGAACCCCCGGTGTAGCTGGGTGATCCTGCAGACCCTTTGGTCATGCTTCCCCTTTTACCTCCAGAGTTAGATTGGGTAATCACGTCACCAGTTCCTTCACACCATCTTCATGCAACCTATCTCCTGAAAGGGTCTGGTGAGCTGGGAAACGTGATTTGCTGAAAAACTCAGTGCTGGGTGTTGTGTTATAGACGCCTCGTGAGGCAGAGCCATGTCCTCATTGCTCTCCCAGCCTGTGACTTGGGCCTTCTGAAAGAGACCCGCGTACACTTTCTCCTGCCTAGAAGGACACTAAGGAAATGCTCTGTGTGTTTGATACCTGCATTCTCTGCCCTGGCACACTAGATGCTGTCATGTCTTTTTCTTCACTTGAATCACAGAACCTTAGACGCCAGCCAGGCCCACTTGTTCATTTTACAGGTGAGCACCGAGTCTGCAGGAAAGAACCTGCCCCAGGCCAAAAAGACTCCCTCTCAGCTCAGCAGTTTTGATGTTCTGAAAAGGGCAGGGTCCCTGTTTCAGCAGGGGTCCTGGGGACCTCTGCAGTGGTATTGGCAATGAATTTATGGCCCCTTTGGTTACATGACTCCAAAACTCATATGTTTCTGTTTGTGTTCAAAGAAGATGAAAATCTGCGGCTCACTGCCTCCTTGAGTTTGCCAAGTTCCAGAAGATAATCTAGCTCCTTGTGAGTACCTGAGGGATACACAGATCCCAGTTATAGGTCACCCAGGTCTCGGCGTTCCTTGGAGATGAATTTCCATGCTTGCATGGGGGGTGAAACTAACTCTTACGGTCTCCAGGGGCCTGTGCTCTGACTGAAAAGAACCCAGGAGCAGGCTTTCATGGGTGACATTGGCCCCGTTCTCTATTTTCACTGAGGTGTGATTGACTAAAGCCCCAGATTGGTTTTGGGATCCTGAGGATGGACTCCAGTATGGGGCCTGGCACTCAGGCACTGGCTGGTGTACGAAGCAGTGTAATTGAAAAAAACGTAGCCGGGCTCGGTGGCTCAGTCTGTAATCCCGCACCTTTGGGAGGCTGAGGTGAGTGGGTTGCCTGAGCCCGCGGGTTTGAGA